GTGTCGGCCACTCTGGAGGTTGAGGAAGGAAGGTCATAAGTTCTAGGCCAGTCTTAGCAATTTAGTGAGTCCTTGAGCAACTTATGAGAATTATGTTAACAGCTGAAAAATTTTATTTTCAGCTGGGGGCGGTGGCACACATCTGGGCTCAGTGGTTTTGCTTCAGGAGTAGAGGATGGGGACCCCCATGGTAAAGAATTTGGGGCTTCTGCCATCAGGTGCTCTAAAAACTGAAAGAAAATGGCAAACCCTTAGGTATAGATAACTTGCTGCATGTAGTTCTCTGCATGGGTGTCTTATTTCTTCTTTTCTTTTTTTTTTTTGGTGCTAAGGATTGAAAACAGGGATTTTACCAGTGAGCCACAACCCCAGTCCTTTTTTTGAGACAATGTCTTGCTAAGTTGCTGAGGCTGGTCTTGAATTTGTAATCCTTCTCCTTCAGCTTCCAGAGATGCTGGGATTACAGGCAAGCACCACTATACCCAGCCATGGTGGTACCTGGCTGGATGCTTTATTTCTTACAAAAAATATCCTGCTTCTCCCAGGTGAGAGGTGATTGGGGTAAAGAATGTAAACCAATGAATATGGATGATGGAAATAAAACTTCATTACACTAGTCTTTCCTTTTATAAATGTCTAAAATTTTCCATAGCAACACATGCTTTAAAAAAAAGGAGAATGCAAAAAATAAAAAATAAAAAAAAAGGCTGAAGATGTGCTTAGTGGTTAAGTGCCCTTGGATTCAATCTCTGATGTCCACCCCTCAAAAGTGGGGGATGATAGAAATCAAAATAATTAGTTAACAAAGGAAAAAAAAATCAAAACATTACATTTATCTTGTCTTTGCTATAGAAATTGTACTTCAAGATACCAAATAGATGATATTGGGAAATTTCTCTTATTATATAGGTGGAATCAATTAACACAAGAAAAGGGTAAGATAAAATTAGAGTCTGAGGGGCTGGGGTTGTGGCTCAGTGGCAGAACGCTCACCTAGCATGTGCGGTGCGCTGGGTTCGATCCTCAGTTACCACATTAAAAAAATAAAATGAAGGTATTGTGTCCAACTACAACTAAAACAAAATACTAAAAAAAAGTATAGAGTTTGTTATTTTGAGGCCCCTAGAAAAGAATGAATCTTGGGCTGGTGTTTTTTGCCAGTGAAATGTTTTTCCTATAGGTTTGCCATGGTCAGAGAAACGCTACCCTTACACACACATCCAGGAGTTTCACAGTGAAATTCAGGCCAGGGTAGTTTGGGTTCTTTTTAAGAGGGTCTTACTTTTCTCTAAGAGGCATGGGGATAAGTTTATAGTCCCTTGATCGATTCCAAATCATTTCTTAAGATCCTATTAAAGTACAGGGCTGGGGATATAGCTCAAGTGGTAGAGTACTTGCTTCACATGCAAAAGGCCCTGGGTGGTTCAATCCCTAGCACCACACACACACACACACACACACACACAAAATCCTGTTAAAGCATAAATGTAAATACATAAATCCTAAGTGTACAAACTCAATTTATCAGAAAGTAAAAACTCTTGAGTAACTGGTACAAAGATTAATAACCCAGTAATCAGACAACAGAACTCCCCTTCTCAATTGTCCTACTCAAAGGTAACTACTATCCTTTTTCTGAATTTGATGTAAATAAAAGTATACATTACATATTATTGTGTATGAGTTCCTTTGTTCAATCACAGTTGTGAGATTCTTACATGTCATTTTAACCAGATATTGTTCATTTACATTACTAGTTTTCCATTATCCCTTTATTTCTAAAATGCCTTTTGTCCTGAAGTATACTGTAACATTTGTATAGTTAATACCAATTTTCTTTTGGTTAAACACAATGTCTTAACAGGTTAGAATTTGACATTTGTATTACGCACAATCAAGAACTCAGCAGTAGGGCTGTGGTTGTAGCTCAGTGATTGAGTGCTTGCCTTGCATGTGTGAGGCACTGGGTTCAATCCGAAGGAAGGAAGGAAGGAAGGAAGGAAGGAAGGAAGGAAGGAAGGAAGGAAGGAAGGAAGGAAGGGACGGAGGGAGGGAAGGGAAGGGAAGGGGAGGGAGGGAGAGAAAGAAAGAAATAGATAGATGTTGTGTCCACCTACAACTAAAAAAAAAAGATTAAAAAAAAAAAAAAAAGAACTCAGCGTAAACTACATAACCTTAGGCACAGAACAAAGATACAGGTGCTTACACAATCTAATAGAGGACAGGACAATTTATTCCAACAGAACTACTGAGTTTTTCCTGTTATCTTGTCTATATTCTTTGAACAAACATACAGACAGAAGAAATGCATCTTTATGAAACATTAGAATCATTAACTTTTTTAGTTAATTTTACTATCTAGCAGAGTTAGGAATTCTACATTAAAACCCAATAGCTGAAAGAAAGCAGTAGTTCCACAAAGCTGTTATTAGAATCTTCTCACTTTAGCATAAATTATTTGAATAAACTCATAAAGAATACAGTAACAAATTTGGGGCATTAAAAATTGGGCACAGGTGGGTGTGGTACTGCATTCCTATAATCTCAGCTATTTGGGAAGCGGAGGTAGGAAGATTACAAGTTCAAGGCCAGCCTGGGCAATTTTATTGAGACCTTATCTCAAAATAAAAAAAGCTCTGGGGATGTAGTTCACAGGGAGTATTTGAGGGCCCAATCCCCAATATCTCAACACATCACAAAAAAGGGCATAGTTTGTTTGTGCCCAATTACCTTGATCCATTTCTTTAACTGTTCAAGTAATGGCATTTGTCTTAGAAATAATCACTGCTCTGGGTTTGTTTTTGTTTTTTTGTTTTTTTTTGTAATGGGGATTAAACCCAGGAGTGCTTTACCACTGAGCTACATTATTTTTATTTTTTTGAGACAGTTGCTTATGGCTTCACTATGTTGCTGAGGCTGGTGTCAAACTTGCAGCGCTCCTGCCTCAGAAGAGATCGTGAGTAGCTGGGATTACAGGTGTACACCACCTGCCTGTCTTGGAATGACTTATTTCTAAGAGCAAAAAGTATAAAAATTATTACAGGGTATATATTTCTATATCCATACTAGCTGTAGGATCATTTCAGCCAGATGTATGCTTGCTGGAAGACAGAGCCTTCATGAGTCACTTTGTAGCTTCTTACCAAAAAGCAGGAATTCAAGCTATCAATATTTCCACTACATTACACATTCTTAAAAGGTAAGTCACCATGTCCTTAACTCTGTGTTTTTCCCAGCATTAGCTCAACTGTTGGCATAATCAGTATCTGATGACCTGAATATATTCTATTAAACAGGGTATTGATTCAGTTTTGTGTCCTTCCCATCCCAATCCATATGTTGAAGTCTCATCCCCAGTGTCTCAAAATCTGAATACACTGGAAACTTGGCCTTTAAGGAGTTAAAATGAGATCTGGATGGGCCTTAATATATTCTGACTATTGTCCTTACAAGAGATCAGGACAGAGACACACAGGAAAATCACATAAAGGCATAAAATGGATCTTGGAGAAGGCAGAGATCTACAAACCAAGGAAAGAGGCACTAGAAGAAATTAAAAATGCTCACTCCTTGATTTTGGATTTGTAGGATCTGGAGCTGTGAGAAATACATTTTTTAAAGAGTCAGTTTTCTTAAATTTATAGTTACATTTTCAGTTAAAAATTTTATAAGTAGGTAAGCATTTTACACTTCAGCAGAAACTCTCCCACCACTTATTTGACATCTTTAAGTTGGTTTTGGTAAGTTTTCAGAATACACAAGCATCCTAAGGCACAGATCTTCAAGATAATAACATTAGTAGCATTTGGTAGTATAGGACTGCCAACAACTGGGTACAATAGAGGGCACTGGGCACTGGATAAAGCCAAGGAGACCTGGGTTCTAGTTTAGATTCTGCAATTAACAGAAAATTGAACTAGGTGTTCTCTTAGGTCCTTTATATTCAAACTTGCATGACTATTGGTTATAAGCTCTGTGCTATGCACATTAGTACCTCAAAATCTAGTTGACAAGTCTCATTTGAACATAGTTATTTTATCTTCCTGATAAAAATGCCTCTTATGCTAAAGTTTGTACTTATTTCTCTAGTGATATTTATGGAGGTAACAGAATTTATAAGTAAGCCAGTAAAGTCAATAGTGATCACCTAATTTTCTATTCCAGTAAATTTCCACTTCTAAGAGATCCTTGGGTAAAAGATTAAAATAAATTATAACTGTTTAGATTCTCACAATCAAAAATTCCTTAAAGAACTAAGAAGTAAAATAGTTGTGTAAGGAAAAGCAATTAATAGTCAGTTGTTAACTGATAACCTTTAATTCAAAAGGACACCAATTCTTGATTTGAGATCTGAAATCATGCTTCACATCTAAGTGTATGTATATAAATCCTATATGTAAGCCAAAAATTGAACCAAACTGGAAATAGTGCTCTAACTATAATTTGGCACTGTACATACAGGCAGAGAGAAGTGGGGTGAGGTGGGGAAATACATATATTAGAAAAGCACCTTACTCCTCAAAATGAGAATTGTTCCTAAACTAAAAGAGAAGTAGTTAGGGGCTGAGGATAGAGCTCAGTTGGTAGAGTGCTTACCTCACATACACAAGGCCCTGGGTTCAATCCCCAGCACCACCAAAAAAAAAAAAAAAAAAAGAGCAGATTTTAGTGTCTTTAATTTTTTTCAGTTTTAAAATTGTCTGAATATGTGTTTACTAGTTTCAAACTATGACAAGTTGAGATAGATGACTATGGGAGAAAAAAAGACAATATGACATCATTAGAATTACAGGTAAGACAAGGGGAAACCCAGAGTACAGACAAGAACACAGAAAATTTTTAAGAGAGTACAGATGTCATGACATTTATTAAAAGGCATGCTACAATGCTATATTTGTTAGGAAAAGAGATTGGAAATATCAAGTTATAGCAAATATACAAACTGAAGGAAAATGGAATATACTGTAGTGTACAGAAGCTTGAATTAACCATGCACTACGTAGTTAGAAAATATGTTTTTAATATTTTATCTTCTCTTTGCATTTATAACATAATTCACTTCAACAATCACAGAATCCTTTTCTTCCAATGCCACAAACTGTATTACAAATGAAAGCTGGTACTGCTGCTTATCAAAATATACAAGACAATTGATGTTTTTATATAAAACCACTTTATATGTTAACTTGTTCCCAAAAACCTTTTTTCTTTTTTGGCCTGGTTAAAAAAAATGTTGTTACAAATATTTACAGCATTTTATTCTTATAAACTGAAAAAAGGGACTTTCATGAACAGATCACATAAAACACAAGACTATGTCAGAGGCTCCTAGCTGTGCTATTTTGTTTTGTTTTTCTTAAATACAGTACTGAAAATGCCCATCAAACCCTTGTCATCCTAATCCATCTGTTCACATTTGCACTCCCATTTTCTCTAAGTAGTCTGTTCACCAATAGAAAATACAAAGTAAAGGCCGCTCTCAACTGGGTCTTTCAGAAAGGAGCTTGGGGAAAATGTTTCACAGAGGAGTTAAAACCAGAACACTCAGTCTTTGGTCAGAGCAATGAGGTGACATTTTGATGCAAAACTTTGCTTGGTCAGCAATCTTTATAATTAGTAATTTTTCGATGTGGGATGAATTTTTAAAAGATCTGGGTAACAATGAATGGTAAAGGAAAAAGGCCAGAGTATGATTCTTTTTAATGACCCCCAAAATAGCTATTTAAATATTTATTACAACTACTACATAGATCCAAGAACTGAAAACAACAAAAATAATCTGCTGAGAGTGTTGAGTTAAATTTGCCATAAGCAGCTTTCAATCATGAGTATTATCACCAAGGTCACTGGACCAGACAAATATCCCTGTTCTCTGGAACATATGCCTCAGGTTGCAAAAACTAAGGTGACTACCACAAAGCAGCTCTGTTCTTGAACCAGCATAATGCTCTATAATGAAGATTATGTGATAAGACAAAAGTATAACTGAGACTTCACACAGTTACAATTATTTGCTTGTATGACTAGTTCGTGGAACAACATTCTTTTAAAACTCTGTAGTACATATTACCTGAAAACCAGAATACTGATACTATCTTAGTCTCGAACAAGAAGAAAAGGTCATTTAAGACTACTGAAGAAGGCACATAAACTTTGGTCCTGTTTTGCTTTTTTCCCTTTATAAACCCCCCCAAATTAAGATTTAGTTATTTTTATTTTTTAAGCCATTGTTAGAATTTGCTCTGAAAAAAGACTGCAAATAGTCTTACAGGTATCAACACAACTCTTTTAAAAGACAGCTAAGTTATACTTTTAAAGTTTTGTGCAATCTAAACCATGTTTTAGCACAATAAAAGTATTTTAGGTCTGGCAGGTTCATTAACAGATAAAAAGTTAACATTAACAAAAGATCAAGACAAAGAAAAGACTAAGAAAAATGCTTTACACATAGTGATGCTGTCCTTTTTGTTGTTGTTGTTTTATAAATAGCAGTACACATTAGGTTTTCTAAGAAACAGGCTGATCGTTTGGCAAACTTAGGGTTTTTAAGGGACTTAATGGGAAGGAAAAGATATGCTTTTGAATGTGTCATTTTTGTCCAAAAATATTTAATGGGAATAGAAGAGAATCTACATGACAATACACTCAAATATAAACATCACTGATGACATGGAGACTTTGAACAAAGTTTCGGAGCTGAACAGAGATTCATAGGAGCTAATTCTTAAAACGAAGTAGAACTGATGACCACAATAGCAGATGGAGACAACGAAGACCTCACTCCCATCAAGAATCAGGCAGGCAAAAATTATGGCTCTACAAACTGAGTTCAAACATTTCTACAAATAAATGATCGTAATATTCAGTCTTGAAGAATTTATGGCATTCTCTGTAGGAGCTACTAGGTAATCCTGATACTTCTCCAATAAGTTACAGATTAAGATAATGCATCATTTTTCTATTTGTACATTACATGAAACACATTTTACTGCTATGTAATTTATTTAAATCTCAACGTAAGATGTTTTGGCATAAATTGCTATTGTTAAATATGTACTGCTATTTTTTAAAGTCCTGATATATGCGTGTGTGTGCATATATACACACACACACACTTTGTGTAAGTCAATATACCTTGAAAAGTGATAAGTATACCTTAAAATAAAGTGAATAAACTTAAAAATAGGATATTATGATAGATCAACAGTGAAAACAAACCACTGCTTAGAAGATACTGAAAAAAAAAAAGTGTGCCAAAACAAACAATAAAAAAACAAATCTAGTTTTTCCACTATCCTCAATTTTTTTTTTGAGTCTTTTTACAAAAACTATGCCAACACAAATACCGTAGATCTCTATAATTCTAATAGCAAAGAGTTCAATATGGACAACATCCATGTGCTCTATAGCTAATTTTAGACACAATCTGATGGCTTCAAACATGCACTTTTAAAATAATATCCCACTTTTCCAAATCTTAATTTGGTTAATTTTCTTTTTCAATAAATAAAAATGTATGTAATGTGCATATGTATATACATTAGAAGTGTATGTATGTATATACATGAATCTATACACACACACACACATACACACAAACAACACACACACACATATCTACATAAATCCCTGAAAAGGATTCAAATGTTCTTTCTCAGACTTAAAGGCCATCCCCCACTTCAAAATTACATTCAACACCATTATTTCCCTTCTGCTATCAGTTACTTGCTACACTTAATGCTGGATGTTATGAGAATTATGAATTAATAAATTACATAGTCATCCCAAAGTAAACAAAGTAATCCAATTTAACATGTCACTGGAAGTTGCTTGTGTAGAAGGAAAAACAAAAACAAAAACAAAAAAACAAATTTTGGGAGATTTTCCAATTTGTTTCCCTTCCTCTCCTACTTGGGTGTTTAAGGTAAAAATGTATTTCATAAGTGGGGGAAAAAAACCAATAGATAAATGATAGTATACCTGTCTATTCAGCCATTTCAAAGGTCTCAAATTAATGACCTTTATATTCTACCAACTAACCGTTACTCAGTGTTGAGTTACAACCTATAATCTCTTTCAGCTTCCCCAAAACAACCTATGTTCAAATTAATGGCTGGAATAAAGCAAAATGATTTGAGATATTCTTTGAAAAGTTAAGATGAACCATTCTGAGAATTATGAAAAGTGTAAATGGGTGGACGAAATTAATCCCTCTGAATAATTCTGCTTTAAAAAAAAATCTGATCAAGCATTGAAGGAATAATAAAGCAGTTTCTTGTTAAAAAGAAACAATTTTACATAATACAATCACTGAAGCAACATTAAAATGTACTCTTACATTCAACCAGAAAGAGAAGGAAAGTATGAGAAATAACTAGTTTTCTCATACTCCAACTATGTGGGCATTCAGAAATGAAGTTACATTAACAAAGAAAAGCAAGTTCTCACTTGAGTACTGAAAAGAACAAGTAATCCTGAGACAAATTCTGATGGGCAATAAAGATTAGAAAAGATCCAGAAACTGAGATTGCATTCTATAGCCCCAGATTGGTGTATGATAATTGGCAATAACTGCTACGAGTCACAATGTAAAGAAGCCTACAAATGTGTACTGAGTTATTCCCAAAACCATTCACCCTTCCCCACCCCATCTCTGCACCAAAGCACCAAAGATTTGAATAAAAACTATTACTTATTGAAAACCACTTAAAATTGTAATGAAAATAACAACAAAAAATCTTTAAAATCCTTACCAAACCAGAGAAAGCAAAAACAAAATGCTCACCAAGCCCACAATATAGTTTTCAAGATATTTAGATAAAACTCTAACCTATTGTATCTTAAGCACATAATAAGGCACATAAGAAGAAATTAAGTAAATACACAGTAATTCTGAATAAGTATTAGATAGATTATAGTGGTACAAAAAACCCTTGAGATTAATTTTTTCTAAAAGAAGACCTTACCAAAAATAACTTCTAAAAAATCTGTCAAACCATATGATAGACCTGAATATTTCCTTAAGACTGTAAACTTTTTTTCCTGAAAACAATTATAAAAAAGTAGTTTATAAGTAGGATTATTTTTTAAAAAATTTTCAAGATCATATTATATTACTCGACAAATCAGTATCATTTTGAAATTTAAAACATGATTTTTCTAATAAAATTATTAATTATTCTGACTTATTAATAGATCCTGGTTGGATTCTTCTTAATTTCCCTGGGGACAGCTGAAACACTTAATTTTTTCCAGATAGTCTTAAAAAGGTAAGATATGCATATTCAAAGGAGTGTCATACAGTAGAAAAAAAAAAAGAAATCATTGAAAGAAAACATGCACATTTATAAGTCTGCTTCCAATATAATTCAATGTGTTTATATGTATAACCATCAATATATGGCAAATATTTGACATAATTTATAAGTGAACATAATTTCCTACAGGGGTCAAATTTCTGAATCATAAAGTTAAAAACTTGGTTGCAAGTGATTTAAATTACTTACATCAAGTAATTTTAAAAGTCCATATGTTTAAATTTCTCAAAGCTCAAAAGGAGTTTAGAGATGTTGTATAAGGCTGATCTGGACCCAAACTAAAAGAAAGCATGTTCTTTTGAAATCTAATTTAACATAGGGAATTAAATTACTGAAAAATATTTTTCCTGAAGGTTATTTTTATACAAACCATGGTACAAAGGAATAACAAACCTTCGATCATATACTGGAAGGGGAAAAAATGGCGGGGGGGGACCATCCCTTGTTTTGAATATACTTGAATATGAAACTCAAGAGTTTTTTTTTTTTTTTTTTTTTTTGAAAGAGGCAAAATTGGTCTTGAGCTACTTCAGTCTATGTCTGTAGGTTTTAGTAAAATTATGGTCCAGTTTTAGAGGAGAAAAATTCACAGAAAAGTCAGATTGTAGATTTTGAGAAAGAAACTCTGAGGTGGTGATTTTCTCCAAGATCATGATTATGAAGCTCAATGAGGGCCTGGATTGCTTCTTCTACAGATGCCAACTGAATGAGCGCCATTTTACGATCTTTCCTGGAAATGGCATAAGAAATAGAGAAAGTATTCAGAATTAATTGTTTCCAAACCTTCTTCCACCAGAAGACTCTTAGAAATTTGCATGGTGTGTTAAATAATATATTTTGTAAAAGCAAGGACTTACTGAAAGAATTTAAAAGCCTTCACTGAACATCCAGCTTCCGTGAAAAGGTTCTTCAAATCATCCATTGTAACAGAAGGGCTGTGAAAACATTACAGAATGTCAACGACATCAGCTCCACTTCTCAAATGAAGCACAGATTAACTCTGGTAATCATCAATTCTCTCTAGTATTTTACATTTCAAGCAGAATTACTGAGCCAGGTAACAGACATGATTTGGAAGTATCCAGGAAAATATTCAAGATGGCACATACATGTCTTAAACAATGGAATTTTGTCTCAATCTTTGCTGTAAAAAAAAAAAAATGTCATATATATAAATGTTGAGAGCCACAGCCTAAGGGGCCCCAGCAAACTTCCAGCTGCCAGCTGATGATTGGCTCACAGCGGCCCCAGCAACTTCTAGCTGCTCTTTGGTGATGCTCATTGGGCTGTTTCCCTACCCTTTCAGACCACGGAGCTGCTCATTGGGGGACTTTTTTTGGCTCCGCCCACACGACCCAGCCAATCAGCCTCAAGAGGAGGAGGAGTGTGGGAGGTTGAGAGGCTTGTGGGAAGCCGGTGGTGGCAGTTGGGCTCTGAAGGTTTTCCTGAGGAGCTGTGTGGTTTGGTGTGTGTGTTCTAAAAATAAAGTTCGTTTCTTTTGACAAGTGGCTCCTGAATTGTGCCCAGCCAGACTGCGGCATTTAAAGGTCAAAAAATTCTTTCTCTCTCTATATATTCTATCAAAGTGATTATTCTTCACACCACTTGACTCCAGTAATTAATTCCAGTACTTCCAAAGTTACTTCTCTAGGTCTGTTCTTTCGCTATAGTCCAGGATTCTACATCTTCAATTGTTTTCAAGGTAATTCTGACAGAATTGTGGTAGCCAGGCTTTGAGACGGCCCCCAATTACTTTTGCCTTCTAATATTCACACCCCTGGAGGTTATTCCTCTCTCTTTTTTTTAAATTTTTTTTTTTAGTTGTAGATGGACATGATACCTTTATTTTATTTTTATGTGGTGCTAAGGATCAAACCTAGGGCCTTACACATGGGAGATGAGTACTCAACCACTGAGCCCCAACCCAAGCCCTAATATTTCCCTCTTATAACTGAATAGAAATGACCTCTGTAATTTTTAGGACACAACAGAAATAATGATATGCTCCTTCAAATAATTGTACCCTTGCCTAGACTTTGCTTTTGGTGCTGGAAATTAAACCCAGGACCTTGGCACATGCTAAGCACATGCTCTGCTACTGAAGTCAACTACATTAGCTCCATAGTTATGAGCTATGCCCCTCCACCCCAATATTTTGACTGCAATCTTATGAAAGAATCTCAGTAAACCTACCCAGCTAAGTCACCTTGCTATTCTTGATTCACTGTAACAATATAAGATAATGAGTATTTGAATATTTACTTCTGTGCCAAGCTGTTACATTCTTCTGTGATCTGTTATGCAATAGTAGACAAGATTATAATACAGTGATCTATCACATGAGAGTTAATAGATGAAAAGTAGACTCCTCATCTTCTCATGATTGCCAGCAATAATAGTCTAGAGCAAACACTGGCTCTTCAGAGACAGATATGAACTCCAATTTTATTCCTCACTCATTTGGTATATAATTTTGAGTAAAATTACTTATCCTGAATCTTAGTTCCGTCAGCAAAATGAAACTATTTTCATTTATTTCATAATAATCCTTGAAGTAAGGGATGACCTTACTTCAAGGATTATTATTATAGATGCTTTTTCTGGTACCAGGGATTGAACCGAGAGGTACTTAACCACTGAGTCACATCCCCAGCCTGTTTTTTTTTTTTTCCCATTGAGACAAGGTCTCGATAATTTTCTCAGGGCCTTGTTAAGTTGCTGAAGCTGCCTTTGAATTTACAATCCTCATGCCTCAGCCTCCCAAGCTGCTGGGATTACAGGTGTGCACCACTGCAAACAGCTTCAAAGGTTATTATAGAGAAATTCACAAAGACAGAATATAGAACAGTGGTTACCAGGGTCCAGGATTATGGAGAAATGGGAGTTATTGCTTAGTGAATATAGTTTTAATTAGGGATGATGAAGATTTCTGCAGCTAAAAGTTATATATGCACAATAATGTGAATGTATTTTTCAATTTTTTTTAGTTGTTGATGGACCTTTATTTTATTCATTTATTTATATGTGGTGCTGAGAATCAAACCCAGTGCTTCACAAATGGTAGGCAAGTGCTCTACCACCGAGCCACAACCCCAGCCCCAATGTGAATGTATTTAATGTGAATGTACACTGTACTATACAATTAAAAGCAACCAAAATGGAAAATGTAATGTTATATAAATCTTACATTATTTTTTTAAACAAAAGTTTGTTGTGGCTTCCCTGCCAAAAAGGGCTGTTATGGAGATGAAATGAGGCAACATGTAAAGCACCAGTGCACTGCCCAAAACTTGGAAGATGGTTCAAATATGTTAATATCCTTTCTTTTTTTAAGGTCATGTCCTATGCTGGCTGCAACTGTTGACTAGCTTCTGCATAATCTGTTGTATTTTAAAAGCTAACAATGAAAGGTCCATTTAGCTATTCCACAGTGATGAGGTATTGAACTTTTAGATCCATGTACTCTAGCACTGTAGATTTTTTTAACTTAAGTGACTCCTCCACAATTTCCTAGCTGGATGAGATTTGATCCACTGCCCAAATCAGATTAAAGGTTTCTCCTCATAGCCTAATCAGACAAGCAGAGAGGTGGGCATTGAATACTATTTAAAGTAATTATTTTCCTTTCCTATTTAGCTCCCACTGGAACAGGGGTGCTTGAGATCTAACCTAGGTCTTTGAACATGGCAGGAAAGCAATGTACCACTGAAGAACACTCCCAGCCCTTAGTCTACCTTCTTATTCTTAATAATGTCCCAGAACTTTAACCCTGTCTCTTCAGTCTTTAACCTATTCTGTCCTATCAATACCACCTACAAAAAACTTAAATGTAGTACACAGTAGGTAATTATATAAGAATATATTATAATGTTAATTATTGTAAATATAAGCTTGAGATTATGATTTCTAATTTAATGCTCCTGTGTCAATTTGGTTGAAATATTCACAGAACTGAAAACTTGGGACTTAAAAATAGGTCAAATTTTTACACACACATATACAAATACACTCCCCACAGCTTTTACTCCTCTTTTCAAAGGTTATCCCATTTGATAATTAGTTTAAAATATACAAAATTGCCATTTCTGTAAGTCTACGATTTCAAGAATTAGAACAGGAGTTGCCTGTTTTTCTTAAAGGGCCAGATAGTAAAAATCTCAGGCTTTGTGGGCCATATAATCTCTACTGCAGCTACTCAGCTTTGCTACTGTACCTCAAAGGTAGCCACAGATATTCCATGATGAGTACAGCCAAAACTTACTTTATGACTTACACCAAACTTTAAGGAAAGGGAAATCTGAATTTTATCATATCACTTTTTTTTTCTTTTTTTCCCAACCATTTTAAAATATAAAAATCATTCTTTGTCCACAGACCATACAAAAACACACATGGGCTCAGTTAATCCCCGAGTTAGAAGCTGATAACTGAAGAAGACATAAATAAAACACTGATTAATAGAGATCTTCTTAAAGTGGTTACAGGAAGATAACTTTTATAGCTTTTAAGTAATCTATATATATAACATATTTATGACTTTGTAGTTTGTAGATAAAGAGTACAGAATTCATTTTTAGGAAATTCTTAGATACATAAGATACATAAGTTGCTTTTGCTATATTAGTTACTAAAAAGTTGTTACTTCTACAAAGGAAAGGGCAGGAATATTTCCAATGGAATATTTCCACTTGCATTTATTTTTATGCCCTTATATTACCGAACAGCAACTAATTGTTCATTTTCTATTTGAAATAAAAATTACAAAACATTGGATCACTTTTGGAAAGCATGACTGGAGATATAGTTAGAATAGTTTCCCTGTTTTACTTTTCCCAGACCACATACTATAGATCATCACCTAAATAAGTAATTTATTAGGTACATACGGAATGTTGGAAAGATGCAGAGTGGCTGATGGTGGAAAGATATTCTGGAAATTCTTAGAGCCAGGCTTTTTAAAGCGATGCAAAGGGCTATTGCTGAAATCCTTAGTCAGACCTTGGTCTTCTTGTCCCTCTCGAGGAAGCTGAACTGACTGGTGTTTGGACAATGTAGCACGAAGCACTTTTCCATAAAGTCTCTGGCCACTTAAATGGTTCATTGCTAGTGTACGGGAGAAAAGGGAAGTTCGAGTATTAAGTTAGACTCTCAGTAGTATGTCCTAAGTTATCATTTAGTCATTTAAAATTATAGTCAGTTTAAGTGTTAAAAGAGTTTTAAATCCAAAATATTTTACGGAAATGTATTAAATAACCTCATTTTATTATAATGAAAGCATTTTTATTTTTTTTATTATTATTTTTTTTTATTGTTGCTTGTTCAAAACATTACATAGTTATTCATATATCATCTTTCACACTTTGCTTCAAGTGGGTTATGAACTCCCATTTTTAGCCCATATACAGATTGCAGAATCACATCAATTACACATCCATTGATTTACATATTGCCATACTAGTGACTGTTGTGTTCTGCTACCTTTCCTATCCTCTACTATCCCCCCTCCCCTCCCCTCCCCTCTTCTCTCTCTACCCCCTCTACTGACCTTCATTTCTCCCCCTTGTATTATTTTTCCCTTTCCCCTCATTTCATCTTGTATGTTCTTTTGTATAACCCTGAGGGTCTCCTTCCATTTCCATGCAAACAAAAACAAAACAAAACAAAACAAAAAAAAAAGGGACTACTTTCCAAGCAGAGTGCTAGGAAGTTTCAGAATGCCTGGAACATAGTAAATATTAATGAAATGGTTACTGAATATATTAGTTTTATCTAAAGCAAAGAAATAAAGACTAGTGATGTTTTTCTTTTACTATTGTTATTTTTCCTTTTGTAGTGCTGGGGATAGAACCCAGGACCTTGGGCATGCTGAGCAACTAATAGCTACTCTACCTGAGCTACATTCCCTAGCCCCTGAGTAGCAATATTTTAATAGCCCTTGTTACAGTATAGCCTTAGAAAGACACTTTCTTATACCATCATTTGGAAGTTTGCCTTAACTTTTGAGCCACTCAACTGTTAAAGAAAACTTAATTTAGAAGGAAAACAAAACCAGATAAAATGAAACAAAATGCCATGTTTATTAGTTTAAACTTAATGAAAGATCAAATAGATAAATGAACTTCAGAAAAAAAGAGTAATTCGTAATTCAGACAAAATATCTTTAAAACTTAAAGTATAAGCAAGTACAAATAAAATGAAGATATTACCACCAGCAAGTACTCTTATAATATTATATTTCTAATAGCTTTACATTTGTTTATACTGAAGGAAAATTCAAAGGTAGGTCATCGTCATCATCATCATCATCACATTATTATTAATAATTAGTACCTAGCTGAGCTTGACTTGCATCTGCCATCTGAACCAAGGCATTTTCTTTCTTATTAAACATGATCTTCACTCTATGGACATCACCATATACTCCTAATTAGAACAAAGCAAAACAAAAACACTATTTAGTGTTTAATTAATTTTACTCTTTCATACATATTCACCCAAGTCCCAGATCTATTTATCTACTCAAGTTTTTCACTTGGATGTCCCATAAACACTTCAAATTTAATGCATTCCAAACACGTTCATCCCCACTTAGCTCTCCCCATTTTCAGTGCTGAATAGCTGTGGATAAATGGTACCATCATGCACATAATTACTGTAGTCAGATACCTGGGAGTCATCTTTCTTTTTAATATTTATTTTTTAGTTTTAGGTGGACACTATATATATATATATATATATATATATATATATATATATATTTTTTTTTTTTTTTTAAAGAGAGAATTTTTTAATATTTATTTTCTTTTAGTTATCGGCGGGCACAACATCTTTGTATGTGGTGCTGAGGATCGAACCTGGGCCGCACGCATGCCAGGCGAGCACGCTACCGCTTGAGCCACATCCCCAGCCCAACACTATATTTTTATTTTATTTTTATGTGATAATGAGGATCGAACCCAGTGCCTCATGCATACTAGGCGGGCACTCTACCACTGAGCCACAATTCCAGCTCAATGGGAGATATCCTTTAACATCTCCCTTTTCTTAAACCCTTACATCCAGTCTATTACTACTCACTAGCACCCACAGATTCTATGGCCTAAATCTCTCTTACATTTGTCCACTTCTCACAATCCTCACTATCATCATAGCTATCACCATTTCCCATGAGACTATGAGAACTACCACAATGGCCTCTTAATTCATTTCATTACACTCATTTTTTTTCTTAATAAGGAGTTTCCCAAAGTGGATTCCACATCCCAGAGAATGGAAAAAATGATTCATATATGGATGTGGGAAAAAAATAAATTTTTTTTGAGACTGGGTCTTGCTACATTGCCCCAGCTGGTCTGAAACCCATGAGGCTCAAACAATTCTTCCTCCCCAGCCTCCTGAGTAGCTGAGACTATAGGCATGCACTGCCACACCCTGTTTCAAAGTCCCGTTCCCCCCCCCCCTTACTGGGGATTGAACCCAGGGGTGCTCTACCACTGTGACACATCCAAAGCTTTTGTTTATTTTATTCTGAGATGGGGTCTTGCTAAATAGCTTAGGGCCTAAGTTATGAGGCTGGTCTTGAACTTGTGATCTTCCCACCCCAGCTCCTAAGTAGCTGATATTACAGGTGTGTAACACAGCACCTCGCCTCAAACTCTTATTTATACCAATCTATTTATATAAATCAACATGAAAAAACTACATTTTATGAATTTCAATCTACAGATGAAATTAAAAAGTTCTGTGATATAAATAGCATTTTCTTATTTTTCTCCATCCAGTGTATTATAATATATTACAGCTTATGCATAAAAGAGTATCATTATCATACTTTGCAATGCAATAAAAGAATGCCTACAAGGGACACAGAGGACAGATGGTTATCTTGTCAAGCACCTAAAGGCAACTGAAAACCTAGAAATGAACTGTACTTTTCAAATTTAAAACAGAGAAAAGCATTCCAAATTTGCTGCCCTTCTTGGCAATGACAAGTGGCTGAAGTAGATATTCTTTAAAAAACTAAACACACACAATTTGTTCTTCAAGGTATGGGTGATTTTTTTAAAATAATTTTTTTAAATATTTATTTTTAGTTATAACAATAGTGCTTGAGGACGAACCCAGTGCCTCATGCATGGTAGGCAAGCATTCTACCTCTGAGCCACAACCCTAGCCCAAGTTTTTTTTTTTTTTTTTTTTAATATTTTTGTTTAGTTGTTGTCGGATCTTTATTTTATTTATATGCAGGGCTGAGAATCAAACCCAGTGCCTCACACATGGCAGGCAAGTGCTCTACCACTGAGCTACAACCCCAGTTCAAGTAAGTTTACTTTTAAAGAGTCATATGAAGATGTATTATTATCTTCCATGATTTTGTTATTGAAAATTACCTAAATTTGCATTATTAAAAAATTTTACAGTGACTGCAAATGAGCATACAATTTTCTTTCTCTCTTACTTTTGTATGAGGTTTTCTAAGTAAGGAAGGAAAAGTTCTAAATTGGACTGTGATGATGGCTGCATAACCATGTATTTACTTAAAAAAAAACGAAAGCAGGTAAATTGTATGGTTGTAAATTATACCTCAAAAATGCTGTTAAAAAAAAAACCCTATCAATGCTCAAAGAATTTAGAAACAAACTTTTCTATCTTGTTAAGAAAAAATCTTACAAATGAAGAATATCATAGTAGCAACCCAATTTTTTAACACACTTAAAATAACTTTTAATTCAAGCTGTACTGATTTTTTAACATATATATTTTTTAGTTATAGACAGACACATTACCTTTTTTTATTATTTATTTTTATATGGTGCTGAGGATTGAACCCAGTGCCTCACACGTGCAAAGCGCACACTCTACCACTAAGCTACAACCCCAGCCCCACAAGATGTACTGATTTAACAGGAAAAAGATAAAGCACAAAAAAGTAGAAAAAACTTTCTAGATGAAGTACAACAAACATTAGTGGATTAGATTGAAAAACTAGTACAGTAACTAATAAAGTACATCAACAATGAAACAGTTCTATTTAGATTGCTTGTTTTATCCTTGGAATAATGAGCCAAAATGAAAAACAAAATATTTCTTATCCACAATAAAGCATACTTAATTGTATTCCTCACTACATATTATTTTTTTCTTTTTTTTATTGGTTGTTCAAAACATTACAAAGCTCTTGACATATCATATTTCATACATTAGATTCAAGTGGGTTATGAACTCCCATTTTTACCCCGTATACAGATTGTAGAATCACATCGGTTACACATCCACATTTTTACATAATGCCATATTAGTAACTGTTGTATTCTGCTACCTTTCATATTAATTCTTTAATGCAAAAAGATTTTGTCATTAAGAAAACCTCTTAAAATAGTAAGTATTATTCATTTTGTTGCTCTCATATTTCTATGCTTGTGTACTTACGATATATATAATGAGCACAGTAAAAGAAGCAATTTATAAATACTTTAATCCTCCATAAACAGGCATGCTTAACTTTCTTTTTAAGTTAAGCAAGAGGGGAAAACTTTTAGAAAGTATAGAGGCGATCTTTAAAACATGACTCTCATTAAGACACTCTGTTGTATAAAAACTATTTAATGCCTTCATATTCCTCATAGGGAACCAAACTCCTTCATATAGCCTACAAACCTCTTCATCATCTTGTCCTTATGCATCTGCCCAGCTTCAATATCTTTCTTATAATCTTCATTAGGATTTCTTCTCTTCCATGTACTAGGAAATCTCACCCACTACTAGTATCTGAAAAGACATTTACTCTCCTCACTTCTGCCTGGCTAACCCATTCTCATTTTTCCTAAGTCAGCTTAACTATCATTTCTACTGAATCCCTGGGCTAGGTTAGGTCTCTCTATTTTATGCACCCATTTACAACCATTATCACCCCTATTATAAAACTTTACTGTAATTACTTAAGTCTTATTCACTGCTCTACCCTCAGTGTCAAGTACACTACTTGGCATAATCAAGAAATATTATTAAATGAATCAAATGTACTCAATTCATATCTATAGGTAACATTAAAAACAATAAAAATGAACTTACCAAATAGAATAAAAAGCCCATGTGGTGTGATAAGCTGTTTAAAAAGGATAATACAAAATATTAAGTCTTAACTAAATAATTTAAGTAAAATTTTAAAATAATTATAATGTAATAAAGAGTTGATTTTGCTTAAAGTATTATTTTATATGCTTCTCTATATACTCATAATGAACAAACTTAAGCATTTTGGGGGGATGGGGAAGTATAAACACAGGGCCTCAGACATGCGAGGCAAGTACTAAGATACAGCCTTAGCCCTTTTTATTTTTGTTTTAAAACAAGGTCTTTCTAAATTGCCCAGGCTGTCCTTGAACTTGTGATTCTCTTGCCTTCGATTTCCAAGTAGCATGCATAGCCAACCAAACTTAAAAACCATTTTGATCTAAATACAATCCTAGCTCAGAAGTCACTATATCTCCTTTTTTTTTTTTTGGCGCTTGTGGGGGTAGGTGGGTGTGTGTGAGAGCACCAGGAACTAAATTCAAGGGCACTTGACCAGTGAACCACATCTCCAACACTTTTTTTTTTTTGTATTTTATTTAGAGACAAGGTCTCACTGAGTTGCTTAGCACCTTGCTTCTCATGAGGCTGGCTTTGAACTCTTGATCCCCGCATGCCTAGCTACTACTACATCTCTTCTTGAAAGACTACTTATAGGGGCTGGGGATATAGCTCAGTTGGTAGAGTGCTTGCCCTGCATGCACAAGGCCCTGGGTTTGATCCCCAGCACCACAAAAAAAAAAAAAAAAAAAAGACTATTTACATACAATACTTCTCAACTCACATCAGGATTGAGATTGGTGACAAGTAGAACAGAATTTCCTGGTATACCACTTGCTCCAGGAATGGCCATCCTTCCAGTGACAGCAGAGGAGGTGAGGGTGAGAGGACCAAGAGCTCCAGGAACAGCTGGGACTGATAGACCTTTGAAAAACACAAAAAGCATTTCATACTCTATAGTTATCTGAAGAACTAAACAGTTAATATAATAAAGTATATAATGAAGTAAATTTATGAAGCAAATTCTGTATATAAATGAAATAAATAAATGAAGACAAAAGCAAACATGGAAGAAAGTGTGTCAAGCTACCCATAAAGAATATATCAAAGGCCCGTTTTCTGCCCCATAGAGTCTGTCTGGCAGCTGAGTCCCTTATTTGTTGAAACCATTTACTCAGTACTTTACCATACTTGACAGAGTAACTGAAATCACTGGTCTTCAAAAAAAAGTTGTTAGATTTCTCAGAGGGTCAGTCTAGCAACTACAAGCACTCCTGCTATCCCAAAATAAATATATTCAAAAGCACCTTTCTAGTAAAAGCATGCAATTTTCACATTGACATCTACCATAAAATCAGGAAAGTATTTTTTAAAAGTCCTTCAGCAGAAGCCACAAAGAGGTGCTGGGTAGTTCTATATGCCAGTCTAAATTTTGTCACCTTATTAAGTTCTAAATAAATATTGACATAATAGATTTACAGAATTCAATATTCTTTTGTAGAATTTGTTTCAGAGCTCTCTACTCTCCTAGATATTCTGAAATCATTGAATGTTTTATAATACTGTAATACGGACATTATATTTGAACTAATTCTTTTAATTTGTTGTTGTTGTTTTCTTTTGGTGGTTCTGGAATCAAACCCCAGAGCTTTGCGCATGCTAGGCAAATGCTCAACTATGGAGCTATAACCCCAACCCAATTTGCTGATTTTAAAAAAAACATATATTTTAGTTGTAGTTGGACACGATACCTTTATTTTATGTGGTGCTGAGGATTGAACCCAGTGCCTCACACATGCTAGGCAAGTGCTCCACCACTGAGCCACAACCCCAGCCCCAATTTGTTGATTCTTTAAGCTCAATATTCTTTATAACAGTCTGACCACTAGTTTATTAAAACTGTGCAATTAAATTGCAATATATTTCACATTCAGCCTATTCCTCTTGAGAATCTAAGAAGGTCTTTACTACCATTATCCATATTGACTATGCAACTAGATTCTCAGGTTGATTGCTTTTTCATGAAATCCACACAGAAAAACCCTTTCTCCATTCCCTCCAATTCATTACTGCAACGTTTGCTACTGTCTCTATTATGTATTAGCTAAGAGTACAGCTTACTGTGTATTATATACCACACTGTAAAAGTCTTAAGTCAGAAACCCTTTCTTTAACCACTTTTTATCTTTCCTAAATATCTACTACTGCATTTTATATGCAAAGCGTCTCTAAAAGAAATACCTAAAATGAGGGAAAACACATTGCTGCTTCCAAATATTTATTAATTAAGCTTTGGGGAGCTTCAAATAAATAAAAACTATGTTTTCAACAAATTATGTAGAACAGTCACTTAGATAAACTTAAAACTCAACTTCATATCACTCCTTTTTTTTTTTTTGTTAACTCTATCCTCTCCATTAGAGAGACAATAGTTCAAAATCCCAGATTTAGAATATTAGGGTATAAATTTAAAATATAGCTACATTCATGAATTAGCTGGAATATGGAAATATGATGTATAAAATTGGCTTTATGGCATGCCATTTCCCTAAATTACCAACTTCAGTGTTTTCTTTTCAGAGATAAAACCATACAGCATTTTTTCCTTTTCCTTAAGTTGTGATCAAATTCATTTTGTTTACCATTTATAAAAGAATGGGAGTCATTATCAAAGTACTAATCAACTTCCATTTCTTAATTATTTCCATTAACTAAAGAGAAAAAAAAAATCCTTTGAAATAAATAACATGCATAACCTTCCATGGTAATCCTCCAAGTCCCTCAACGAGGGCTGAGGATTTAGTTCAGAGGTAGAGAGCACTTGCCTAGCGCATGCAAGGCCCTGGATTCAATCCCTAGCCCTGCGAAAAAACTAAAAATCAGAAAGGAAAAAACAAAACAAAACACTAAGTGCATCAGTAAAAAGAGATTTCTCAAATTGAAGAGTAAATATTTATTAAATAAAATATTTACTGAGTGTATACTGTGTATTCAGTGCCTTCAAAGGAACTGAAAACACAAAGTTCAGGTCTATTCAACACCTAATCAATAAGCCTATTGTTAATGACCTAAGCAGCTCATACATTTTATGTAATAATTTGATTAAAAATCATTTAATGTAGCCAACCTATAGTTGCCTGTGCAAATGGAAAGTATAAATGATGCAGAACATATAATGGAATGAGTGAAATTCAAATTGAAGCCAGAGAAAATTACTTATAAATAGGAGGAAGCTGTGTACCATACAGTCACTTCTGTGCTTGATATGTCTAATGCTTTTTTTTTTGTTTCCCCCTGGTACCGAGGATTGAACCCAGGGGTGCTTAAGCACTTAACCACATCCCCAGCCCCTTTTTATATTTTATTTAGAAACAGGGTCTGGCTAAATTGCTTAGGGCCTCACTAAATTGCTAAGATTGACTGTGAATTTGCCATCCTCTTGCCACCGCCTCCTAAGCCACCAGGATTATGGGGCAGGTGCTGCCACGCCCAGATGCCCAATGCTTTTATTCCACATTCTTCAAAATTTTCATTTTTCATCTTGCTAAGTTCCTGGAAAATCATTTGAAAATTATTTCAAAATCAACTTTAAAAGATTCACCTGTAGCTTGAGGAAATCCAATGGCTGGGGCAAATCCAGCAGCCCCTGCATATGGTGAAGAGATTATACCTGGTGCACCTAGTGAGGAAGAAAGAGAAGCTAAAATAAATATACTACCTTCTATGAATATGCTAACCAAAGCAACATAAAATGAGTACATTAGAGTTTATTACAGAAAAAGAAAAATATTACAGAATAAATATTTGTTCAACAGGTGATCTTTAAGGTATAAGAGTCTCTGCCATTTTGGGTGGCCTAACCACTTTCAGCTGGGTTCAATGATCAAGTGTATAGTTTAGCTGTTCATTAAGTCTTGACTAGGCTGAGATTTCTGGTCCTTATTTAGAGCATTTTTTTTTCTGTATGAATAGTCATCAAATACTCATTAAAATGTACTCTTATCTGTGGTGCATTGTGATGACATAAAGAGGTATGAGATTAAATCCTTGTCTGAGAGGCTTACAAAATGTAAGTATGAATTACAGGAAATTAATATGATGAGGGTCATATAGTGGTGTAAATGGAATGTACCGCAAGTGGACTAAGGAGTCACAAGGGATTCACGACGATCAGTTAGAGTAACTGAAAAGCATAATGCTTGGTGTGTACCGGATGATAAAATAAATACTGATCTTCTCTTTCCTCTAAGAAGTCCAGTGACTGTGTATCATCAACAAAAAACCGGAGATAATTCCAATGAATAAGTCAGCTCTTGCAGAAAAATAGTGAATGTGGTTTGGAATATGTAAAATTTGATGTGGTAATAAGATATTTAAATGGAAATGCTCACAAGGGGAAAACTCAGAGTAATCATCACAAGCAAACACACAGATTTGTAATCATCTGTGTTGAAATAGATGTGAACACCGTACAAATCAGAGCTCCACTAAAAAAAGCCAAAGAGAAAAACAGAAGAGAGCCCAAAACACAGCCTGAGAGTATTAGTACACTTCAGCAGAAGGAAGAGGAATATTCTACAGAAAAGAAAAAGAGAAGAGCCCAAGAAATAGGGGGGGGAAAGGTAGTGAATTATACAGTACCTCAGGATCTAGTTTTAAAAGGGGAAAGGAGGATCTACAATAAAATTCACACAGAGTAAGTAAAAAAAGTGTAATTGTTTTAGAAAATATACATTGCAAAAAGTCAAAGGGAGAGTTTTGGATTGTTTAATGACAAGAAGATGAACATATTTATAAGCATAAATATTCAGGCTATATTTTCCAGAGGAGTTAAAAGCTCATATAATTTCACTCTCTTTACTAGAGAACTGTTTAACTTAAATATGTAGATGTAATTTAGCATCATTCAAGAAAATGTAGATCTGCAAGGACAGAACCAGCAGAGATAAAGTACAAAAAACAGACTGACAAAATAACTGATAAAATACAGGAGACTGAAATACACCCAACAAACATGATTGATTGATTGATTGATTTATACATACATACATACATACATACTGCTGAGGAATCACTGAACAAAGCAGATATGAATCTCTGTCCTTGCTAAACTTAGACACAAGTAGGCTCAAGATCATCAATAAAAATGATTCATTCATTCATTCATTAATATATATGTACATTAAAGGAAGATTTAATAAGTCTTCAAAATAAAGCCTGCAGACCCATCTCCATAATCCCATTGACTGGGGAGACTGAGGCAGAAAGTTCAAAAGTTTAAGGGCAGCCTGGGCAACTTAGACCCTGGCTCAAAAAGTAAAATTTTAAAAAGGGCTGGAGATATAGTTCAGTAGAACAGTGTTTGCTTAGCACATGTGAAACCCTGGGTTCAATAACCACAACCAGAAAAGAAAAAAGGAAAAGCATGCATTTCTTTGTAATTCACACCCTGGGTTCAATAACCACAACCAGAAAAGAAAAAAGGAAAAGCATGCATTTCTTTGTAATTCACACCCTGGGTTCAATAACCACAACCAGAAAAGAAAAAAGGAAAAGCATGCATTTCTTTGTAATTCACTTTGTAATTATGTCATATGTTTCTGCAAAAAATAAAGGCAGAAATGACATGTGCCACAGAAGCTTTAAAAGGCATTTAAAGTTACACCAGCTCTCTTATTCTTTACGCTCTGCCACAAGAACATCAAAACACCTTCCGAAAGGCCCTATATCACAAGAGGGAGGAGTGCTGTGAAAGCTGATTCACAGCTGCTGCTGAGGCACTTTAGAAAAATGTTAATTGCCATAAAGTGCTGATGAGGGCCAGTTTTCAAGCACAGTCAAGTGGCTAATACAGATGTCTATGGGGAGTGAAGCAGAATGCTAGCCATTAAGTATTAGAAAAATAAGGAAAAAATTTGACATAACGATCACAGAACATTTAATACACATCAATTAAAAGAAAAACTGGCAAGCAAATATCTAAACTAAATTTTGAATCATTTCCCAGCATAATATGATTAATAGGAATATTTGTTTAATTTTGACAAAAGGATGATTTATAAAAAGTTTTTATGAATTTATACTCCTCAAATGAGCAAAACCAGAAACATTTTAGAAAAGTAACCTGTTAAACAATAATATTATTTTATGAGAAGATAATGCAAACCTTTAAAAAATGGTTTACAATTTGAATGACTATTAGAAATAGATATTTTACATTTGGAAATGTATCACCATGACAGCAATCAAGGCAATTTAAATTAAAAGAGGATTACATTTCACCTATGAAATCAGTTTATCACATAATTTATAATAGCAAAATTCTAAAGAAACTAGTTTAATATTCCAACTGGAGAATGATTAAATAAATTATGAGTTACTAGACAAAATATAAGACCATTTAGTATTAAGAGCATGCACTATAAAAATAACATAACTACATTAAAATTTTTGCTCAACTCAAAGAAATGCTAATTATTCTGATTTGATTATTACACATAAGTGTATTGGATTTTCACATTGTACTCCATAAATATGGACACAGTGTTAATTTTACAAAGGACTATGTAGTAGATAATACTACTGTATAGATATTAATTTCCTCATTTTTATAACTGGTATTTTTTTTCAATATTTATTTTTTAGTTGTAATTTTATTTATTTTTATGTGGTGCCAAGGATCAAACTCAGGGCCTTGCACATGTTAGCCAAGTGCTTTATCGCTGAAACATAACCCCAGCCCCGATAACCGGTATTTAGGTAAGAATGTTTTTGAGTCAGAAATGGTGACACATGCCCGTAATCCCAGTGACTCAGGAGGCTGAAACAGGAAGATTATAAGTTTGAGGCCAATTTGGGTCAATTTTGGGAGACACTGTCTCAAAATAATAAAGTATATTATGGAGATGTAGCTCAGTGGTAGAGCACTACTCAGTTCAATCCCCAGCACCACCAAAAGGAGAAAAGAATGTTTTTGTTCTTAATAAATATGCAATGAAAATACATTCTGCTGTCCTGTAACAAATTAGAAAAAGTAAAATAAATATATAAAAAATAAATAAATAAGCAAGCAAGCAATAGGTATTTAGAAGAAAAGAGCATCATGCCTGCAACTTACTTTCAAATGGTTTGGATAGGGAAAATAAATAAAAACAAATAAATCAGAGAGATGATAAAGTAAATGTGGTATGATGCTAACAATTGTGGAATCTGAATGAAGGAGTTCTTAGTGCTATTCTTGCAGCTTAAGTTAATTCAACACAAAGTTACTAAGATACTAAATATTTTAGAACATAAGTATGTATATTTATAGCCTCAGAATAACAAAAAATTTCTTAAATAAGACCCCAAAAAGGGGTTGGGGCTGGGACTCGGTGGTAGAGCGCTCTCCTAGCATTCGTGAGGCACTGGGTTCGATCCCCAGAGCTACATAAAAACAAAATAATAAAATTAAGATATTGTGCCAACCTATAACTAAAAAAATAAATGTTAAAGAGCCAAAAAAGAACAATAAAGGAAATAATATACAAACCTAACTGCATAAATCAGTAAGCCTAAACCCAGAGAAACTATAATATATAATCTACAAATGACAGGTATCTGGAATACATGAAGAATTCCTACCAATAAATAAGAAAAAACTAAAATAAGAAACCAAACACAAAAACAGACAAAAGAATCAAAATTAAAAGAGAGGATGGCAAATAAACAAAAATAGTTCAACTTCCCTGGAATCAGGAAAATGCAAATGAAACTACAACGATAGGTATTATTTTACACACACCAGAATAGTAAAAATTAAAACACCCCATAATGCAGGTATATAGGGTAGGATCCTTTAAAAAAAATATGGTGCTATGGAGTAAAACTGAAAAAAATACACTCTGTATGACTCAATAATTTATTGCAGATGCATGTTCTCTAGAAAAAAATTCTTGTCCAGAAGACACAAGAATGTTTATAGTAGCATTATTCACAATAAACTCAAATTAAAAATAACGCAAGTATCTATCAGTAATAAAGTGGATTAACAAACTCTGGTACATTTATCCAGCGGGACAATACACATTTGACTATACTGAGAATGAATGAGCCATAGTTCCATGTATGAATATGGATGAATCACAAATGCCTAATGTGAAAGAAATAAGTCACAAAAGAAAAACAGCATGATTCCACTTATGTAAAATTCTAAATATAGGTTAAAAAAATTAGGGGCCAGGGTTATGGTTCAGCGGTAGAGCGCTTGCCTCGTACGTGCAAGGCATTGGGTTTGATCCTCAGCACCACATATAAATAAATAAATAAATATTAAGATAAAAAATTAAAGTAGCATTTAGGGCTACATAATAAAAGTACTAAAAAGAAAAACAGAAAAGAAAAAGAACAGTCATTATATTGGGGGTTGTGGTTATCTTGAGGCAGGCAGAGTAGGAAAACAATCCATGAAGAAGGGTGCAGGAATGATCGTCAGTACACATACATGTTTTCTTTCTTTCTTTTTTGTTTTTAACTTTCTATAGTTGTAGATGGACAGAATGCCTCCATTCTATTTGTTTGCTTTTACTCGGTGCTAAGGACTGAACCCAGTGCCTCTCATGCACTAGGCAAGCACTCTGCCACTGAACCCCAGTCCCAGCTCCCATGTTTTATTTCTTAACCTGGTAGTCACAGCATGGGTATTTTAAAATACATTTACTTGAGGGTGCATGGGGGCAGGAAAAATGGTGGCATGAGATGGACATCATTACCCTAGGTACATGTATGACTGCACATGTGATGTGATGCTACATCGTGTACAACTAGAGAAATGAAAATTTGTGCTGCAATTGTGTACAATGAATCAAAATGCATTCTGCTGTCATATATACCTAATTAAAATAAATAAATTTTAAAAAGTGCTTTCAGAAAATGAAAATATAGTAAAATACATTTACTTGTTTTATAAGTTATTTTATAGGTATATGTCACTAAAAACAGGGACAGAATGCTTCTGACTCGGACCTAGAGACTTTTGACTGTATTGAGTCAAAAAGTTGTGCTGCAACCTTTAAAAGAGAACAGCCAGTGAGGAAGGCATAAAGTAGGGAGAATGTGGTATTACAGAAGCTAAGAAAGGAGGGAATAGTGAACTGTGTCAAAAATTAGTGATAGGCAAAGAAGAGAAACTTTTACACAATATGTAAAACATATTTTTCTCTGATGAATCACTCAAGATGGAAATATTATTTTGCAATGACTAAAGATTTATTAATAACAATGAAAAAGAATGTGAATAGTGTTACTTTATATTCAGAAAGCAAAACTCTTAACCATATTTTCCAAATGTCCTACTCCCACAATACAGAACATTAATTACACCATAAGTATATATTTAATTATTAGAATAAACATGGTCCTGCATTTGATAGCCCAGTTTTGGCAAACATGAATTTGCCCTAACTACAATCATTTGTTATTAAAATGGTAATGACAAAGACCTTTGGTTCTGCCAAATCAGGCACATACATATCAAAAACAAAGTTTATACTTAAGTTATAGAATGTTTTCTAGAAAACTATAGGCAACTAATTGGTTGTTCTTTAATTCTTTAATTTTCTCACCTACAAAAGAAGATGGATTAAATACTACTTAAGGTCTCAATTAGTGATATTGCTTGTATTTTTATTAATGAAAAATCCAATACCACATAAACTTAAAGATAGAAGTTTTTTAAAAAAACAAAACACAATACCTTTATTTATTTGTATGTGGTGCTGAGGATAGAACCCAGTGCCTCACACATACTAGGCGAGCACTTTACCTCTGAGCCCAACTCCAGCCCAAGATGTAAGTTCTAATGTTTAAAAAAACAAGATAAATTCTCTTCTTTGAATACAGGAAAAACATATGATTAGTTAAGGCCACTGATTTAAAGTATCACTATTTAAAAAGAAAAAATAATTTTCAAGAGCACTTATGGCAAAATTGTGCTGACTATAAATCAATTTAATTTTTAAGAATCAATTAGAAGCAAATAGTTGTGTAACTTATGAGTAATACCAATGTTAGAAAATAAATTTGTAATTCAATTAGAGACATCTACTTGTTTTGACAAATAACAGAACTTTCTAATATTAAAGAGTTAATGAGGGGCTTAGGCTGTGGCTCAGTGGTAGAGCGCTTGCCTAGCATGGGTGAGGCCCTGGGTTTGAATCTCAGCACCACATATAAATAAATTAATAAAATAAAGGTCCATACATCTAAAAAAATAAAATAAAAAAGAGTTAATGAAGGACTGGGGTTGTGGCCAGCAGTATAGTGCTTGCCTAGAACATGCAAGGCCCTGGGTTCTTTCCTCAGTACCACATAAAAATAAATAAATAAGGAGCTGGGGATATGGCTCAACAGGCATGAGGCACTGGGTTCGATCCTCAGCACTGCATAAAAATATAAATAAAGATACTGTGTCCACCTAAAGCTTAAATAAATAGACAGATACAGGTATTGTTTCCAACTACAACTAAAAATTAAATATTTTTAAAAAAATAGATTTAATGAATGGTCACATTTGTTCCAAGATTCTTGCTTTCCTTTAGAAATTCTGAAAAAAAAAAAAAAAAAAAAAAGAAGGCTAACTTAACAGATTAATAAATGAAACTTCAGAAAACTTGCTATGTGGCCCAAAAAGGAACTACTCACCAAAAGCAGCAGCCATAGGGGGTTCAAGAGATGGCTGGCCATCACCAGTAGGAAGATCTAAGCGAGTGAAGTCTCTGCTTTTGTCATTATTATATTTCACATTAAGGCTGGTGAGCTTGGAGAAGTCAATACGCAGAGTGCAGCATGCATTATATATATTCTGGCCATCCAGAGCCTAAAGCACGTGAGAAAGGGACTGATGTTTTTGCAAGACAATACCACTGATGAATCAAATAACCTCTACTGTGACAAAGAGTGGTAATCAGGTATAAAGCAGAGAGCAATGGAAGAACTAGGTTTACTTTCATCCCTGTCACAATGAATCTAAGGGAGAAAAAAAGATGCTGAGCCTCAATATATATTTGTATAAAGAAAGTAACATCCGGGGCTGGGGATGTGGCTCAAGCGGTAGCACGCTCGCCTGGCATGCGTGCGGCCCGGGTTCAATCCTCAGCACCACATACAAACAAAGATGTTGTGTCCGCCGAAAACTAAAAAATAAATATTAAAAAATTCTCTCTCTCTCTCTCTCTCTCTCTCTCTCTCTCTCTTAAAAAAAAAAAAAAGAAAATAACATCCATCTTATCTATGGTAGGAGCTAACAAAAGAGAAGAAATATAAAGGCTTGGGAAACTACTGTACATTAATATAGAAATACTAAGCTGCTACTACGGCAACTCTGCCTACAACAAACTCTAAACATGATAAACATAAATGAGTGTTTAGAGATATTCCTATTTCACATTTCACCTTAATTATTTTACTATAATTTATATAGATTAAGGTGAAACAAAGCCTTTGTAATTTGTATTTATCAGAAACATAATACACAGAATATTATCTACCACTTATTCTTTTGTGAATTTATCCTGTAATACTTTAACAATGAGCTGAGGAAAATTTGGAGTCAATTGTTATCAAAAATCAGTAATCCCTCCCTTTGCAAGAATAAAATCTTACCAACAGAATAACTGTCACTGCTTGTGATTTTTGTGATTTCTATAACTTGAATTTATAAAAACAGATACCAGAAACCAAAAGCACATACAAATGAAACAAATACATTAAAAGCTCTGATTTACAATAAAAGTAATTAACAAAAGTCATTGTGCTATTAAAATGGTACAAAATAATATATGCAAGAAGGCTATCTTCCTAACTGAGGGCTAGACAGTGCATGATATAGAAAAGAACTATAAGCCTTAGTCTCTGGTCTCTAATTCGAGCAGAAATTAGAAATGATTCAGGAACAGAAGACAGAATAGCATTGGAGATAGATCTCAACAGACGTATGTAATATAAGCAAATTAATGTGAAATTTGTTATACTATCAAGTTAAGTATCTGTGTACTTTAAAAAAGCATGAATTGACAACAGCATAATTCTTGAGACAATGTTTTCACCAATTTAGAGCTCAACAGAAATGAATGCTGAAAATTTTTCAAAAGTAGTGAAATCAATTTTAGCTGATTTAATAGGACCGTACAAAGGGCAAAAACCTATTCTCTTAGATTACATCAGGAGTACTGTGCTCAAATTCTAAACATAACAAACAGCAAAGAGTCTCAAGAGTCCTGAGGGGCAAACTAGAGATTTGAAACCATTTCTATGAGGAAAATAATAATTTTTAACTAGGGGAACACATTCGATTATATGGTTAAAAAAATTAAAATGGTAGATATTATTTTATATATTTTATCACTATTTTAAAAATCACACACAGTAAACTAGAAGAGAGAACACATGATGGTTTCCTTTAGAAAGTGATTAATTATTGAAAAATGAAAAATAATCATAATTACCATTTTGGCATAATGTGCATTCACTGGGTCAGCATACTGAAGCAAGGCTTGAAATTGATTATTCTTTGTAAAGGTGATAATCTTCAAGACTGTTCCAAATTTAGAAAATATCTGGAAACAAGTTCATATTAGTTAAGTCTAAGGAAAATATTAAACTAATGTACCTTTATAAATACAATCTGGCTCATGAATCCCCTTTTTAAATGAAAATAATTTTCTCTTTTATTAAAACTGTTGGTATACAACCCTCGACCCGAAAAAAGCCAAACCTAAAATGTTAATGTTTCAATACCCATTCATGTCTTGGAAGAATACCTTGCACACAACAAAACTCAAAACATGTAATCTACTTCATAACATGTATAAATGATAAATAGTAAAACAGAAGGTGACAACAGAAGTCGAGAGTATAATGATGTTACAAAAGCACATTTCACCCTGGGAATCAGCATATACTTCTGGAGAATTTGTGTTTTTTTTAAACTTGTAATCTTAAAAACAAAATTTATTTTTATTGGCATATTATAAATAATAATGGGATTCATTATGCCATATTCATACACACACATAATTTGACCAATCTCATTTACCAGTACCATCCCTTTTCCTCCTCTCTTCCCTACTTCTGATCCACTTATTCAACTCTACTGATCCCCCTTGTATTATTATTTTAATACATTATAAATATATATAAGTGAAATTCATTGTAGTATGTTCATACATAGACACATGCATAATTTGGTAGATTTCATTGTCCATGCCTTCTGCTCCTCCCTTCTTCTTGATCCCCTTCCTCTTACTCTGTTGTTCTCCTTTTTATTTTGAGGAGATCCCTTTTTTTTTAATTCCCCTTTTTCCCTTTCTCTATATTCCATGGGAGAGCATATATTTAACTTTTTGAGACTAGACTAGTTCACTTAGCTTCTTCAGTTCCATTCATTTACCAGAAAATGACATAATTTCATTCTTCTTATGGCTGAGTAAAACTCCATTGTGTATATATACACCACATTTTCTTTATCCAATCTGTTGAAGATTGGTTTCTTAACATGGCTATTGTGAACCGAACTGCTATAAACACTGGTATACATGTATAATTATAGTATGCAGATTTTAGTTCTTTTGGATAAATACTGTTATGGTTTAGGTATCTCCCAAAAGCTCGTTGTGGGACAATGGAAGAAATTTTAAGGGTAAAGTGATTGGGCTTTGAGAGTTTTTTTTATGTGGTGCTGAGGATTGAACCCAGCGCCCCGCGCATGCAAGGCAAGCACGCTACAGCTTGAGTCATATCCCCAGCCCTTTGAGAGTTTTAACCAAATCAGCAAAATGATCCCCTAAAAGAGATTAACTGGTAGTAACTGTAGACAGGTAGCTGTGGCTGAAGAAGGTGGGTCACAGGGGTTATATATTTCGGGGCTGATGAGCCGAGTTCTCTCTGCATTCTGATGTGATTTTCCTCTGTAACACCCTTCTGCCATGATGTTCTGCTTCACCTCCAGCTCTGCAGAATGGAGCCAGCTGTCTATGGACAGAGACCTCTGAAATTGTGAGCCCCAAATAAGATTTTCCTCCCCTTTTTGTTCTTGTCAGGTCTTTTGGTCACAGTGGTGAAACAGCTGATTAAAATAAATACCAAGGAGTGGGACAGCTGGGTTACGTGGAAGTTCCATTCCTAGTCTTTTGAGGAATCTCAAATCTTTCCAAAGCAGTTGTATTAATTTGTAATTCTACCAACAATGTACCCTTTCCTCCTCATCCTTGTTCTGGAAGGTTTTATAGCCAGAAAACTTAGAGGTTATTCTATATCAAATATTCATAGGGTACTATTCTAAGCACTGGAAAGATAGCAGTGAAGACTATAAAAAAATAAACAAATATTATGATGTCTAGTCATACAAAAATGTTACAAATAAAAATAGAAAAGGGGAAGGGCGAGTCTGAACCATCATGCAAGTTGGGATAGTGCAAAAGTGGTCAAAGAAGATCTTGCTTAAGTATCTTCTGAGAAATGGAATAAATAAGTCTTCCTGACAGATTCCTACTTATCAAGTTCTTACAAAACTTGTTCTACCACAGTAGCACTGAGTCATGGTTATTGTTACTATTGTCTCATTACAAAAGTTTATCTAGGTAGCATAAAACAATAAAACATTTTGTTTTCCTTTGTTAATCCATTTTAAAACTAGATCTTAATGAATAAGAAATTTGTCTTTCTGCCTGTGAGAATAAAAAGGTTAACCATTTCCTATGCTAATAAGATTTTGCCATTACTAAGTATTATGTATAAGTGTGCTGAATAAGCAATTAGTCCTGCTTTAACAAACAAATAAAAAATAAACTGGACTACCTCAAAATTTTGGGCATCAAAGGACACAATCAACAGAGTGAAAAAGCAACCCAAAGAATGGGATATAACATTTTGCAAACCCTATTTCTGACAACACTCAAGATATATAAAGAATTCCTACTACAAAAAAGAAATCCAATTTAAAAATGAGCATAGGATTAAATAGACATTTCTCCAAAGAAGATCAAATGACCAATAAGTAAAGAAAAGATTGACGATCACTAACTACTAAGGAAATGCAAATTAAAATGACATGAGATAGCAGGGCACAAAGGCACACACCTGTAATTTCAGCTACTCAGGAGGCAGAGCAAGGAAGATTGCAAGTTCAAGGCCAGCCTCAGCAACTCATAAAAACTGTCTCAAAATAAAGTTAAAAAGGAAAGGAATGGAGGGCTAAGGATGTAGCTCAATGGTATAGCACCCAGTTTCAATCTCCAGTACTACAAACACACATGCACATATCATATCACTCACACCCTGTAGGATAATGTGTGTGTATCCATAAAATAATGAAGTGTTAGGGGAGGATGTGGAGAAAATGAAATCTTGTAAGCTGTAGGAGGGAATGTCAAATGTTGCAGCCACTATGGAAACAATATGGCAGTTCCTAAAAAAATTAAAAATGACCATGTGAATCAGCAATTATACTTCTAGGTATACACCCAAATAATTGAAAGCAGGAACTGAAAGAGATACTGGTACACCCAAACTCAGAGTAGCATCATTCAAAATAGTCAAAAGGAAGAAAAAAAATCAAGTGTTCATTAACAGATGAATGGATAAACAAAAAGTGATGCACACACAGAGGAATATTATTAATTCTTAAAAAGGAAAAACATTCTGATAGATGCTACAACATCTTCAAGACATTATGCTAAGTGAAATATGTAGTCAAAAAGACAAGTACTGCATGATTCTACTTATATGAGAAACACAGAATAGTCAAATTCATATAGAAAGTGAAATGTTGCTTGTCAGGAACTGGAAAGAGTAAAAAATGGTGAGTTATTGTTTAATGGGTACAGGAGTTTCAGTATGAAAAGATGAAAAAACACTGGGGAAACATAGTGTTCGGTGATGGCTGCAAAAAAATGTTGTGTTAGCTTTTCATTACTGTGACCAAAATACTCAACATGAATAAGTTAAAGGATAGTTATTAACAAATTAAAGGAGATTTACTTTGACCCACAGTTACAGAGGTTTCAGTCCATGAACATCTGGCTCATTACTTTGGGCCTTAGATGAGATCAAACATCATAGCAGAAGGGCATGGCAGAGGAAAGCTGCTCAGCTCACAGCAGCTAAAGACAGAGGGAAGGAGGGGCAGAGCTCAAGTGACATTCTTACAGGGCAGCAACTTAGTGAGATCCCTATCTCAAAATAAAGTTAAAACAAACAAACAAAAAAGGCCCCCAGTGATTTGCTTCCTCCAATTAGGTCTCATCTCCTACAGTTTCCATCACCTCCAAATAGTTCATTCAAATGAGTAATTCATCAGATCATGGATCCACTGATGAGTCTAGAGACCTCATGATCCAATCATTTCTTAAAAAGCTTGACCTTTTAACACTGCTAAATTGTGGAAGAAGCCTTCAACACAGGATGGTTTTGTTTGTACTAAGGATTGAATCTGGGGGAGCTGAACCACTGAGCCATGTCCCCAGCACTTTAGGATCTCTCTGAGTTGCTAAGGCTGGCTTTGAACTCACAATCCTCCGGCCTCAGCCTCCTGGGTTACTGGGATTACAGTTGTGCACCACCAGTCCTGGCAACACAGGAGTTTTTGCCAAACACTTCATATTCAAACAATATCGAAATGTGAATACACTTAATTCCACTGAACTGTTTACTCAAAAATGGTAGTTTTAATTTAAAATGGGAAACTTTATGTAATATATATGTAATCACTTTTAGGAAGATATATATATATATATATATATATATATATATATATATATATATATATATATATATAAATAAAATACATGTATCAACTGAGGGTTTTCCCCCCAATAAAAGAGCAACATTACAACTTGTTTTTTAAAATAAAAAAGGGAGAATGAATATAACAAGTGTCGAATCTCCCTCGTTTATATTGCAGCCAACGTAGGGTCCTAAATCACAAACCAGATTATATATACCCCTGCTTAAAATCATTTACTATGGGGCTGGGGTTGTAGCTCAGAGGTAGAGCGCTCGCCTCCAACTCATGAGGCCCTAGGTTCGGTCCTCAGCACCACATAAAAAAATAAATAAATAAAAATAAAGATTAAAAAAAAAAAAACTTTACTATGTACTCATAAGCATTTGCCTTGGTATACCTCTTCAACCTGACATTTCTTATATCACAGAATTTACAAAAACAGTATCAATTGGCTATACTTCTCCAAGTATAGCAAGTGATTTCAGACTTCTATGCCAATACTTACGGATTTTCCCTTTTCCTAGAACTGAGTATAAAACCTAGTAAATCTTCATTTAAAAACAGTTCAGAAAGCAATGGAACCAGAAAATTGTTTCCCCCAAATCCCAACAAAGTTAATTCTCTAAGTATTATCCCCTTCTTGCTCTCATATAGTTATTTACCTTGTTGTTGTACTTATATTAAGTAAAATTCTTGGCATAAAAGAGTACAAAGGTAGGGGCTAGGGTTGTGGCTCAGTGGTACAGCACTCGCCTAGCACGCGTGAGGCCCTGGGTTTGATCCTCAGCAACACATATAAATAAATAAAGTAAATGTATTAAAACAAACAAAAAA